ACCCATTTTCCTGTTCCTTGGACTCTGCATTAGGATGTACATGTACTGCCAAATTTATAGGAGTATTACTGCCAAATACTGCACATCTTTTTCCTAAATTTAGATGGGCTTTGTGACCTCTTCGGAGATGGAGATCCAAAGCACAAAAACTACTGCAGAAGATGTCTTAGCCCTCCTTCTATCTTGTCTGGACTGATACAACTCCATATAATACTATTTCTCTCCAAATACCTGCAGCACTTTGATAAAAGTTGGCTTGAGCTACGTCAACTTTTTACTGGTGTGACTGAAAATGTGAGCGTATGTACTTCCTCTGACATCTCTATTACAAGACTGATAGCATCTGAAAGTGCTGTAGCTATTTGCTACATAATCATGAGTCAGAGCTCCTACATTGCTCTCAATGACTTGGTACAGGTCATGTTTTTCTCAGAAAGAAATCACCTTGTTTCAACAGCTGAAGAATTCTCATAGTAGGCTTCTGACCTGAAAAGGAGTATTTGTCCCCATCTTCTCATGCTAGAGTGCACATGGCAGTCTGTGATGAACAGGACATATATTTCTCTCCAATACACTTTTCAAACTACCATAATTAGTATCTATAAAAAGGACTAAAGTAGCAATTAACTGAATAATGCATGTTGCTCATCAAAAAAATATAAGTTTTCTAAAACTGATTCAAGTTAAGGCCTTTTTCACCACTTATTTCATCATTCTGCAAGTTACTCATCCATCAAGCAAGAAATAACCATGTACTACCCCAGACATAACTTTCCTATTGAGAGTTAGAGCAGTATCTTACACAGTGATGTCTGACCACTCAAACACTGCTCCATTTTACTCTGCTAAGTGGCTTATGGGGTATCTTCATTAATTCATGCCAGATCAATTTAGTTCACTCCCTGCTTTCTGTTTCATTAAAGTTCCTGGAAGCTAAGGCTGCTCAGCACCTTAAGAACACTCCTTCGGATCAAACCTTTCTTATTTTCAACTGTAACAACAATAATAGTCCAGATCCCTGCTGTTTTAGTTAGCATCGTATACATGTACCACCAGACTAAGAGCTGGAGTCTCTGAGTCTTATTAAGAACATTTGCAAACAGACTGACAAAAGCAAGGTCTTTTCTGTGCTTTATGAGAGAGAGATCTGATAACACTTCTTACGTTAAATATATATTAAAGAGCTTGATGATACTAATTAATGGAAGGGAATTTTTTTTTTTTTTTTTTTTTTTTTTTGCATTAATATGGACTGCACAGATGAAGCACAACTCCTGGTATCAAAGTGCTGTGGCACTGTCCTTCCTCAGAAAGTGGTTCAATGCTTATAATTATGGCAATAACTGAACAGTCATACTGCAGGGCATGAAGCCCTGGCAAAATACAAAATTCAGCTGAATTATGAGGGATTGTCATATGTCATACACAGAGAAATGTCATTAACAATACAGAAGCAGAGCATTGAGTCCATTGGTTTGTTCACACTTAGATTTTGCACACATTCTAAGGGTTGTTGTTGAAGAACAGACAAAAAAGCAAAAATGGTTCTGTTTCATATTGCCTCCCTTCTCAACAGCCAATTCTAATACAAAGGATGTGTATGCCTGAATATTCATCCTGACTGTGGAAACACTGTACTCGTTTCACATCTGGTGAAACCTTCACGCTTCATGAAGAGCAGTGTGGAAAGACAGGGATTCCCAGCATGGAGAGAGAGATTCCCTTCATGGCTAATATCACTCCATCAAGAGCTATCTTTAGGAAATCACTAGAAGAAATGCCAATCGACAATGGCATCCGCCTTCATACAGCCCTTACTTGTAAGCATCACAGAAGCTGAGTGTTTTGGATGCTCTTTAGACAGGATGGGAGGTCGGTCAGTCATTCAGCCTGAAACAGCCACTTCACTTCCTAGCTGCCTCGGGTTTCTTAGGGGACTCAGCTGAGGTATAAATGATTCCCTAAACCCAATAGAAAATACTGTGCAGGCACTTATAAGCACTTATCTCCTCCTAACAGAAAACCAGGAAGCTTTCAGGCTAAAAAAAGAGATGCTTGCTATATTGTGCAGTCCTGGAAAGTAAATTTGCTGGATTGCTGTCTGGTTGGTGAGATTTATCCTCCAAGGACTTCAGTCTACTGGATTTTACTTTGGATCCTAGCATCTGAGCCCCAGCCTCTTCTTTAAGGTTAAGGAAATCAAATCTCTTGACATTAAAAAAGGTGTGATCCCAATCAAATTCAGATTAAGTAAACCTCAGGTGAGTTTTTAAACTTAACTTTGCAGTTCAGACAATCACAGTGCTGATTATTAATCTCTAATGAAATTTATAGACCAGATACAATCTAGCTAATCACATCTACCAGAGAGAAAAAGTGCTTCTAGTAGTATTATTGTTTCATATTCTGTAATTCTTGTACTGTATCAATCTATAATTAATTTATATTATTATTCTAAAGACACAAACAGGCCTTCCAGCAAATTCTTCAATTTCATACAGCAATTTTTTTCTCCTGTTACCAAATAATTATATTAAAACTTATTCCACTGAATAATAGAAATTCCAGATTTTTAAATACATGTTCTAATAAAAATTGTTCTAATAAAAAAAAATATATCTGCAGGGAGTTTCACACAAATAGGAGTTAATGAACTGCGCCTTTTACATCAGTTTCATTCTGCTCCTTTGAAAAATAAGAGGAACACAGCATGCACTAGAAACTAAGAAGTCTCATAGCTGAGAAGAAATTAAACCTCATATGCACAAGCCACTGTTGCCATATGGCAAGGCATTAAGACTTCCTGAAAGGCAGTCTTCTCTGGTTAATTCCAAAAGGCCACAAAATGCATGCACTAATGCAAATTGTGTTCTTGTTCAAGTTCAAGGCCCGTGAAAGCACTGCTAGTTACTGCTTGTTTACAATATTTTTCATGGGCTCAAAAACAAAATTCAAAATTTAACAAAAATGCATTTAGTGGAGGCTCCGTGTTTAAATAGATTAACAGGTATGTTCAGAAATAATGAGTGGGGAAAAAAATATGCCACCTAACTTTGTCAAGGTTATGGTTGCTTTCTCCCTGAAGAAAACCCACAGCATTTGCCTGGTGTTAGTTTAAAGTCGCTTGGATTAGTAACAGGAATTGCTGTGTTAAGCAGTATTTCAGAAAGGAAGATTCGTTGTAGCAGAAATTTGGAGTGGAAGAGCACCAACAACATTGACTCAACACAGTTAGGAGAGTAACTCTCCTCCCCCTGACAGCGAAGGAACGCAGAAGCACTCAGCACCTGATAGGATCAGGGTGACTGTGCAGTGACATGCTAAATTGATAGAAATTTTGTCTCTGAGTCTACCTTAGGTAAAATTTCCTGCAAAGACTCAACTTAGTGCATATGCTAGCAATAATTCAGACTCTTATGCTTACATCCCAACAGAGGTCTAATCTGTTAGCTTGCTCTAAGGATGCCTACTGTGCCTCAAAGGTACCATGCTGAAAAAACAAGTGCTGCTTTCTTTCAAAAGAAGAAACTTGGACTCTATCCTTCTTTAATATATCGGTGACTATTAAATATTTAACATAAAGTAATGCCTAAGGCAATCAAGCAGAAAATGGAAGAGCAAGGTCTAAGTGAAGATTTTAAGAGTGTTAAGCTCTACCAGCTGAAGTTCTTCTCGGCTACATTTTGGCTGTATGCACCTCATGACAGTTCTTAAAATCTAGAGACTCATGACTAAGCCACATACCAAATCCCCAAAGCAGAATCCACACTTCTCTTAACAAGGGCAGCACAGGGTTTCATTTATCCCCACCAGACATGCAAGTCATAAACAGGTTCCAAATTCAAAACACAGGTGGAGCAGTGCTCTGTATGATATTGGGTAAATCACTTTACCTTAAGGAATTTGTCAAAGAAAAGGTAATGAAACCCACTACTCACCTAATTCTCTAAAATTCTCTAAAATTGAATGCTACAGTCATCAGTGTTGTAGTGACAGGTATTGGGTTCATTTTAGAGATTTCTAAACTCTTTGACTGTCAGTGAATTCATAATGCTTGCAAGGCCATTGCAGTATAGCCCCCAGTGAAGAAGTGCAGAAGGCGAGTCACACTACTGAGCATAGGTAAAACCCTGTGTACCTCACAGATGTTCACAACTCTAGCAAATACTTCTTGGGCACACTGGTACCATATTCGTGCCACAGCAGCAGCAGCTCCCAATATACAAGAGTGGAGAAGTACCCAAGTCTTTGCCCAGTAGCAATCCTGGATACAACCCAAGTAACACAGCACTTGGAAACAAGGATGAACTGCAAAGCCTTCCCTCTGCTATCAAGATCTCCCTCTGCCAGCATGATGCATCACCTCTGTTTTGCAGTTTCAATCTCCCTTCTTTTTCCAATCCTTTCAAACTCATTTTTTTTCTTTTCAACAGTTCTTCCATTGTTTCTTCACATTCGTCTTTCTGAGACAGTCAGATACAATCACATCTTGAAGAAGACCTGGAAACAACAGACTTCTTTTACTCTACCTGACACGAAAACGGACAGCAAGTAGCTTTTTTTATAAGAGTTATCCCATGCCAAAGTTCCCTATCTCTTCATCAAAAGCAATTTTTTAATGCAAGAAAATAACAATCTTGTTTGAGCTCCATCCATCAGGAACTACAGAAGTGCACAGCGCTCAACATAAGGAACAGCAGCACGTGTCCCACATGCCTGCCAAGTTCTCAAGTTTTCCTGGAAAAAAAAATACCAGTCACATGTATTTTAACATTTGTTACTTTCTTCACTACAACAGATCTGTTGTTGAATCAGGTCCTTCCAGCCCATGCCAAATTCCCCATTTTTCTCTTTCTTTCTATAAGAAACTAACAGTTCATTTTAAGACTGTCCCCCAACCCTGGAACAAGTAGAATTTAAACTCCATAGGAAGGCTGAGGCAAATATAAAGCTAAGAATCTTTCCAAAGGACACCAAGTACAGAGAACAGTCACATAATGTACAGTGCAAAAATTACTTTATTCATTACCACATTTGTTTTCCGGTTTGACAAGTGCAAGGCAACTGTATTACCTTATATAGAACAGATACTGGCAAGGCACAGACCTGACAGACAACCAATATTTAACTCTCTGGATTACCTACCACAATGGGACACTGACAAGCAAGAAGAAAACACATTTAAAAAGAGGACAGCTGTTCTTGTTGAATTCGGCAGATATTCAGAGTCCAGAAGTAGAATTGCCCCATACACAAATTTTCATAAGCGTACCCTTATTTAGCGGGACCACATCAGGTCAAGATAATGCTGCCACACAAGACTAGGAAACAGGCCATTTTTAGGGAGCAAGGCCTCGAGTTCAAACAAATGACATGCCCCAAATGCCCTTCCTTGCTCTCTATTGCTCTGGCTGATTATGAAGAGAAGGAGAACAAAAATATTCAGTGTTCTCAAGCACAACCTAATAAATAGTATCCATTTAGCACCAGCTAATGTTAAAATGTACTAAGCAAAATATGAAGGTTTCTAGTTTTCTATGGCCACTTACTCGTTACATTACAAAATATTCAATCTTAATTAGAATTATCAGACTGTGACCAGGCATCTCATCCTGCAAATGTCAAGGTCAAATACAATAAAAATAAAACAGAAACAAAATAGAGAATACCGTGACCTTCAGTCCCACCAAGAGCTATGACCATTCTACTGCTGGTTTCAAGAAGTCTGGAGGCACTCCTTCCAAAGCTGCATTGCCCTTTGATGCAGCTTTCTGAGTGGAATTCTTAGGCTTAGGAATACAAAAGCTCATAAAGCTAGCCTGCATATCAGGTCCTGTAAGTACTTGTGCTTGGAAATGATGTGGGATGACTGGCTGTCTCCATGTGATAGGGGATTATAGAGATTCCCAGGAACATGGCAGTCAAGCTTTAGTGTCTAGAGTCATAAGTATGTGGAACTCCTCATGTGCCACATGGTTCTTCTACCTCAGATGCTCTTAAATGTACCAAAGCTCTGCTTGACACAGTTCTGCTGCAGCTATGCTTCCTGATCATCCTCTCTCTTGATGAGCTTTGTTATGTTCTAGTGGCATTTGTACAGGACTGTTGGAACCAGGAGATCTGTACACTTTGGTGTGCTCTCTGCAGCCACAACTTCTGCTGGACAGGTAGCAGGATACAGGAAAATCCATTCACTCCAAGCCATTTTCTCTGATGACTCTAGGAATAAAGAGAGGGACAAGGCTGTCACCCCAATCTGACTCTCCTAATCAGAGATGTGTCAGACTGTTGCACAGGTAATATCTCAGCATGCATTTTGTTTTCGAGACAGTCTGAAATTTGTAAGCTGCTACATCCTGATCCCGAAAATGACCCATTTCTCTGATAAGAGCTTGTCCTTGTCCCTGCTTTGCTTTACACGATTACAGCCTCAGATCTGTTCCCTTTACAATCACCCAGGAGTATCCCAATATATCTCCCCTCTCCCAAACTCAGACCCCAAAACAGACTCACCAATGTCCAAATCCTGCTTGCTGTCCAGAAGGAGGAAGGAAGAACTCTCTTCTCCATGATCTAGGCTACGTGCCTGGAACATGCCCTCTTTCACATCAGTTGGCAGATGTGTGCAATTCAGTCAGAGGGCTCATAGCCAGTTCTCAAATGGTGATGGCCTGAGGATGAATAGTTGAGTCTTGTCTGCCTCTGAGCGGGGGCCTGCTGGCAGAAGGAGGAAGAGGAGGACTGGCTGTCCCAATGCAAAGAGCACATGCTGGAGTGTTTCAGGCATAAGTACTGTCTGCTACAGGACGGGGACCACGCCAAGATCTGACACTGTCTTTGGAAAGAGCTTGGTCTCTCACACTGGTGGCATGATCTTGACTAGTGGATGTCCAACTGTAGTGCAAGTTTACCAGAGATCAGAGAACGCTGGAACCCTATGTGGACATACAAGATGTTTCTCCGGAAAGCTGAGTGTTGTCTTTCTCCACCCAACATTCAACCTGGCATATAAGAAAGAACTGAATGGCAAAATAGTAAAAGTCTGAAACTTTTTTACTCGAAGTAGAGTAAAAATTTCATCTGGGAGCAAGGGCAGCTATACCTAACCATAGTGTAAGTCTCTTCAGACTTCTCTTCAGACAGTCTCTGCCCTTAATGTTGTATTGGTGACCAATCTGTTGGAACACTCCTAGGCAATGAGTTCATTACACTGTGAGACTTTGGCAAAGTTATGATACTATGTGTACTGTTCCCAAATGAAGAAGAGATACAGGTGTCCCCTGGAACCAGTTGACATGGGGTTGCGTGTGACAAATGAGGTCTTGAAGAAGACCAACCGGAGAATTTAAAGGGGTGAGAGAGAGGGACATAATGATGGCACCCAGTATGTCTGTACAGCCTCACAAAAATCAGGCTCTTCCAGTCAAATTTGGTCAATCAAACAGCCAACATGTTACACTGAAAAGCACTAACTGGTTCTCAGATCACTCACTGCGCTCCAGATGGAATTTCTAATGGATCAAAGATTTTGGATAATCACAGCTTTTGGGTCTTAAAGACAACTCTGCAGCTCTCTTACAGAAGAGGGTGGACAGAGATGTTGCTCTGTGATCTGTACAGACACCAGAGGCATGCCCCATCCTTACACTACTCATATATTTTTTGAATTCCTGTACAAAAATGCCAGAATCCACTACTGTTTTCATGAACTTCTGCTTCTCTTTCAGAAATCTTTGAATTGTTAATTGCAGCCATCTTTGTTGTTGAATGAACATTTACCACCTCATTGTAGCCTTTAAAAATAGATTTATCAAGAAAATGCCAGCAGAATATTAAGTATAGCTGAAATAATGGGTAGCATTGTAACAGCCTTCCTGAGGAGGTATTGTGCAGTAGTTGCTCACAACAGTGCAAAAATAGAATGACTGTTCTCCAAATCAGTAGCACCCCCAATATGCATTGCTCATCCCTCACCACAAGAAACACTTCTGTCTTATACAGCTGGACTCTTTCTTAACTCGATTCTATTTGTCAATGCTACATTTACTCAGATGTGTTAGCATCTTCTGTTGTTTCTTTCTTTCTTTCTATCATTCTTTTTCTATTTTTTTCCACTATTTATATTTATCTAGGAGTAAAACTCCTACCAAATAAAATGTTATTGATTGCCTGGGTCACCTGGAATCCTATTTTCAGTAGTGACCCAAAGAGGATTTTTACAGGAAAGCAATTAAGAAATGTATGTGTGAGTACTACTGCAATGCAGGTGCAGGGAGAGCAGTGGGAACACTCTCCAGACACCATTCACAGTCAGCTTACACAGTAACTAACTGGATGCTGTTTCATCCCCTTGAACTCCTAAAAATTATCTTCGTATTTTACAGATTTCGTAGAATTTGAAGCTCTATCTCCTGAAACCTAAGCACAATGCCTCAGTGGATGGCTTTGTACTGCAATGAGTTTCACTGTAAGGGACTAAAAGCTGCCAAGCACCATAAAGCTCTGAGAAACCAAGAACTCTCAGGGGACCCTCTGGGATGTGAATCTAAGGCAATGGGCATTTCTCTTCACAACCTGGCTTACTTTCCTTTTACTGACTATCAGGTTGTTCTCATATTACAAGAAGAAAAAATAAACTGAAATACACAAAACAACTTCACATTTTGGCTACAAAAACAAATCAAAAACAAACCTGAGAAATTAGTCTGCCCACAAGGCTAAAAAATCCATGTACCTTCAGCTAACTGCAAATTTCTATGCCTTACACCTACAAAGACACACTGTTTCTCTATCAGAGTGCCAACTGGATCATTCACTGCTAGTGCCTCTTCCTCCTCAGAGGCACCACTACAGTGGCACAGATGTCGCTTCACATGAATTTTTCTGTAACTTTTCCTTGGTGTAACAAGTTTATCCATTAGATTTAACAGTGTATTTCTCTCCTCTTTTTTTTTTTTTTTTTTTTTTTTTTTTTTAATCTGCCAGATGCAAAGACCTATAAAACCCTCAGAAGAATTAAAAGATGTGTTCTATTGTGATTATTGCTTCCAAGGGTTTTTTGCTACTGTCCAAAATAAACAACAGCTACTAGAACTAAAAGCTAGAAACAACATTTAACATCTGAATTTAACCAAGTGACTCCTCTTCACTTGGCCAGGAGCTGAAAAGGTCACTACAGATAAAAAGAGTGAGAATGAGGCTTTAATTTTCGAATTTCCCATGCCATCCCAGCTCCAGATGCTTGTGGTCAACGAGTCCAGGGATGAGATGCCCACTGTAAGACTGGATAAGAAGAGAAGTATTTTCTCTGTAGAGGTGCTACACAATGCAGCTGGGATTGCTTACACACAGCTTACACAGCCTGAGACTCATTCACCAAAGGGGAAAACAAAGAGGGTGCCTAAGTATAGACAAACTAATTTCATCCGCCTCATTTTTTTTTTTACATATCTAAAAGAACAATATATTTTAAATAAAGTATACAGTCCTTATTTTAAATTATTTAAAATATATTCAAGTAAAATCAAGATTCTATATGAGTAAGTTATGTTAGAAAACAAAATAGCAGCAGCTAAGTCTCACAGAAGTTCTGTCTATGCAAGTAATAATTTTTTGCATACGAGAACTTTTAATTAAGACTCAGTTCTCAATTATGATATGTATCACTAGATCCCATGACTTTACTTATATGCTGAGTGTACAGATCAGGACTATGGGTTTTTTTTTTTTTTGATTCACTGCATAACTGTCCAGACCTAAATTTGATAGGCATTTTTTACTAGAAAAAGTCTTCATGAGCAGATGTATTTTTTCTTTTGAAAAGAACGCTTTGAAATGCTGCTAATAAATGAGACACTTAGAAAAAAGCATTTGAAATAGTGTAGATAATTACCCTTTTAGCATCCTACCACTATTGCCATTTATGTAACTTCTGATATATAGTCAAGAATAAACTACTGAATTACAAGTCGGAAGTCTGAAAGGTTATATTAACTTTCTAAAATAGTACATAGTAAAAAAAAAAAAAAAAAAAAAGATTCTGCCAGAAGGGAAAAAAAACAACCAAGAGGAAACAAACAAACAAAAAATCACCAGAACTAAACCTACCAGGTACATCTGAAAAGAAAATAAGTGGAGACACATCACACCCACACAGGGCAACTTCTGAGCTCATTTGTAAACAGTTCACAGTTCTATATATGGAAGACATCAGCAAAAAGTATTTTCTGGAGTCATGGAAGGAATGAGCTTTACTAAGTAGAGCTGCTATTCACATATCATTAAGAAATATATCACACAAAATCCCCTGTGATCAAGACCTGATATTGGTAGGTTCTGTATGAAGAAAAAGTCTGTATCCTAAGCTGCTTACTGCCTAAGCAGACAGACTATAATCAGTGTGGTGTGAACACAGTCTGTGCTATAGCACAGCATTCAAGCTAGCTCAGTTCTTTTATAGCTATGTTACCCATAAAAAAAAGAAGCAGGCGTGAAACTGGACCTAAATCTCGGTATCCAGTCAATTATTGATGTACTATTTTTCTGTCTACAGTGCAGAACTTTTCTTTATCTTGCAAGCTTCAATTTTCCTGAAATTTTAGGTGTAAGCTTTTTCTATGCTGCTCATTTCTTGCAGGGAAAGATACTGTATTCCAAGATTTGACATAATACAAACCTGAGCATTAAGCAGTACAGGGTGGACTCACAAAAGAACTCAGAGGTGCTGAAAATGGAAAAACAAAAACAAAAACAAAAAAAAACAAAAAAAAAAAACCAACCAACCAATCAAACAAAAAACTTCCATTCATTCTCTAACACCCATAATTCTTCGTACTGCATCAAAATAATTTATTGCTTGAATTCTGGAGTAATAACTTGATGACTAGCTACAGCCCTATCATCTACATGAGCATGGCATGCCTGTTAAACCATGTAACAATGTTGAAACATGCCATTCTCCCTACCCCGAAAGCTCACAAAGCAGTCATATCAGTAACTGTCCTCCTACAAGGAGTGGCTTTTCATGCCATTTCTAGAGTTTTGTTTATGTAAAAACTCAACTGTAGCAAATATATGGCCTGCTCAATGTGCTTACTGTAAAACTTAATCAGGTACGGAATGATAATAGGAGTCAGGTGCTGGCCCAAAGACTGTTTACCAAATCTAGAAAGAAATCAGATCAAGCTCAGTTCAGCACTCCAGCCAGTTCTCAGCATTCCTACCAGATCACATCAAATGCCAACTGATTATGATTCATCATATCTTCATTTAGTAATGGCACTTCATGTAAGACCAGAATAATGTGAAGAATTACTGATACATTTGCCCACCAGTAACCAAGGTTCTGTCTAACTCTTCATTTGACCTTAAAATCAAATATAAAGTGAATGGTGGCATGACCTTGTTCATGTGGAAGTCATGGAATGAGAAATAAATGGAGCCAGCAGTAATTCTGACATTTCTCAAAGGAAAAACAATTAGTGAATGTTTAAACTTCAAATGTGTAAGGCAAGTAATATTTAGTACTTAGAATTAAACCTTGAAATCCTTTCCAATATTTTTGAAAAGAGATTTATCTTAAACATGTTATAGCAAGAGAATTCATAGAGGATATGCTATTAAAAAAAAACAAAAAAACAAAAACCAAAACACAAGAACCAGGTTAGCATTCCCATAAATATTACATTAATTCTACCCAGGTATTCCATGACAAATTAGGTTAAATAAATTCTGACCTATCCCCAGATCTCAAAAGAGCAGCCACCTACTATGCACAACTAAGTAAGGCACTCTTCTTATGCTGATTTGTGTATATATATGCCTTTGTGTATATATATGCCTCCCACTTCCTGGTCAAGGGATCTCACAATTTACAGAGGCAACTGCATAAGCACGCACACACACACACACACACACACACACACACACACACACACACACACGAAGATAAATGGCAGCCTTCTTTAGGTATCTTGTAAAAGACAGAGAAGACCATTTGTATCCCAAACATCTACATTAAGCAGTAGCTGTACACATGCATCACATATATAGGCAATGGGCAGGTTTTGGTAGCAGGAGGATGCGCAGAGGATACCAGCAGCATCTCCCACCCTGCACCATGCACCCTGAGGATCCTCTGAGTGATCCTCTGGGTGGGGAACTCTCTGCCTTCACAATGCAGAAGATGAATTTAGGGCTGTAAGCTTCAATCTCAAGGACCAGTAAACTAAAGTCTAAGAGACAGAGTACTGTCAAACTACAATTTCAGGTGAAAGTAGGGAAATAAAAAAAAATAATTCACTTTCTCGCAGGACTCTGCTGATGCAATTTAGCATTTTATCTTAAGAATGATGGGGGAAAAACACTATATAAAGCCCTAGCTATTTATGGTTTGCATTCACTCTGCTCAGAGGAAAAATTGTGCTGACTACTACCATGGTAAGACATTAATATGTTACTTGTTATACTGACATGCTTTCTAGTAAAAACTTTACAAACTGAAATAATGTTGCTAAACTTCTGTTATTTATGATTCTAAGGCATTGTATTCCTATATGACACATAATTATTCATGCCCTAAGCACCTTCTTGACAGTGTGCTTCTTAAATTACTTTTTATAGATTAAATAACTTTCGCCAGCAAATCGTATCTTCTGGTATGTAAGCCATGCAAATGAAGCCACAGAGAGCAGTGTGCAATTCAGACGAACAAGCAGGTCATTAGGAATTTCAGCACTGAGGTTCATGCTCCCGTCTCCTGCACCCTGTGTGACCAACCCCTCTGCACCTCTCCTTCTGGGATCTGTGTATTCTTCTCAGTACTCCTCTCATTTGACCTAATTTTCCCTTTTGCATCGCTTCAGTTATACATAAGTGCCTCTCAGCTGCCCATTCTTATTCCCTGTAAGTGGCAGATCCACATACTTGTCCCTTGAACTACTAGCCTCCTTCATGTCCCTTTCTATGTTACGTGATCTTGATGTGTTTGGCCGCTGGAAGGCAGTCTGAACTTATTCACCCAGTTCGCTGACCAGCCAGAAGGTTTATCTACTAGGTGTATCAGATTAGATCCTGCATTGTCTTCCAGGTGCTGGTGCCTAAAAGAACCGTCCTATGTCCTTAACAATCAGGCTATCTTCTGTTAGAGAAAAGTGCAGTTCATAGCACCCTGTCTAGCTAAGACCAAGCTTAACCTGCTGAGGCTGAAGTTTCAGTAATGACCAGTCTAATGTCAGAACTACAGTAGGATTTCTTAATAGTATTATCTTAATATCTTAATTGTATTCCCCTCATTTGAGTGGTTGTTACCACACTAACTCCATCCTTCTGGGAAGAGAATGGATCTTGACTGTTCTTTTTTTTCCTCTCTAGCAATTATGATGTTTGAGTGGGGCATGGGAAACCAACTGCTTTGCTACTTTTGCCGCAAAATCACATGTGGGAAACTGCAATTAGGAATCGTACCTAAGCTTGTTGACTCATTAATTGTTTAATCTCCAAACATCATTTTGTCCTTCTTCCCTACTGCACCTCACAAAATTCATAGAACCACAGAATGGTTTAGGTTGGAAGGGACCCTAGTTCCAAACCCCTGCTATAAGCAGGGGTATGTCCCACTAGACCAGGTTGCTCAAAACCCCATATAGCCTGGCCTTCAATGCTTCCAGGGAAGAGGCATCCACAGTCTTGCTGGGCAACCTGTTCCAGTGTATCACAGTAAAGAACTTATTCTTAATATTTATTCTAAACCTACCCTCTTTCAATTTAAAACTATTTTCCCTCACCCTATTGCTACATGCTCTCATAAAAAGTCCCTCCCCAGCTTTCCTGTAGGCCCCCTTCAGGTACTGGAAGGTTGCTCTAAGGTCCCCCTGGAGTATTCTCTTCTCTAGGCTGAAGAGCCCCAGTTCTTTTCAGCATGTCCTCGCAGCAGAGATGCTCCAGCCCTCTGATCATCTTCGTGGCCCTCCAATGGACCCACTCCAACAACTTCATGTCCTTCTTGGGTTGGGAGCTCCAGAACTGGATGCAGTACACTACGTGTGGTCTCATGAGAGCAGAGTAGATGGGCAGAATCACCTCTCTCAAACAGCTGGTCATACTTTGGCCTGCTGTAACCCAGGATAAGGTTGATCTTCTGGGCTGTGAACACACATTGCCAGGTCATGTTGAATCATTCATCAACCAACACTCCCAAATTCTTCTCCTCAGGGCTGCTCTCAAGGCATTCTCCAATCTGTACCTATGCCCTGATTGCCCCAATCCAGCTGCAGGAACTTGCTCTTGGCCTTGTTGAACTTCATGAGGTTGGCATGGGCCCAACTCTCCAGCTTGTCCAGGTCCCTCTGGATGACATCCCTTCCCTCTGGCATGTCAGCTGAACCACTCACCTTGGTGTCATCTGCAAACCTGCTGAGGGTGCACTCAGTCCATGGTGCCCACAAAGATGTTAAATAACAATGGTCCTAACACCGATCCTTGAGGATTGCCACTCATCACTGGTCTCCACTTGAACACTAAGTGGTTGAAAGCAACTCTCCAGCACAACCATCCAGACAATTCTTTATCCAGTGAGCAGTCCATCCAACAAATTCATTTTGTCTTTGCTTTTAACTTTTAAGGCACCGCTAATGACTGGGTTACTGATAAAGGGCACCGCTCAGTATGACATAATTCGGTTTTCAAAGATCCTGGATGGGGACAGACTCCTGATTAATATGGATATATTTTTTTTTCAATGCAAAGTAACGTTAGGTATTTGACCTCTGTCTTATTTCCCCACAGTGTGTTTGTCAGAATGGCTACTTTTACACGTTATTCTTACAAGATGATTTTAAAAGTAACTTTATATGATGCATGCACATTCTGGAGTACATAAGTAATAAAACAACGTCCAGAGTTTCAACATTCAGAGCTCCATTTCTCATTTTGGTGTTTACACTCTAAGCAGATGTTGATAATTTAGGAATTATTCTAGAGGAGCTACAGAAACACCTGGAAATATGGAAAACAAATATTACTGAATAAAGGTCAGGTGTTGAGCAATTTAGTCATCTTCTCAGAATGTAAGGAGATTTCTGATACTAGAGAGTTGTTTAATTTTGAATGAAATGCTTAATGAAGTTCAACTACTAGAAGATCAAGCTAGAAACTTATACTGGAAATGAAGGGGGGTTTTTTAAGGGTTTAAATAATTAACTGGGGAACACTTCACTTATCATGAATCACTTGCTCTTAAGAACTTTAAATCAAGTTGAAGCATATTTCTAAAAAACAACCTTGAGCAAGGAAAAAAAAAGACAACGTTACAGCCTTCATGAAAAAGAAACCTATCTATGAAAATTATACAGCAGGTACGATGTGGGGTCTAAAAAGCTATGAATTCTAAGATCAGACATGTCCCAAAATGTCAGCTAACAAAGTCCAGATTTGGCTGAACACTCATGGATAAATTCACGTGTCTAGAATCAATGCTTCTGTAAGTCTGAGCGTAAGAATGAATGTTATTATAGTATATCCCATATGGCCTTGGAAAAACATACAATGGAAAAGAGAAAGTAGTTCAAATCTAGCTCTAAAACTATGTAATTGGTCAGATAAGAAGAAGAAAAAAAAGTTTCTGTTAAAGGCAAGTCATAGATATTCTCTACATTTTTAAAGGAGGAGAAAAAATGTTTGTCCATTGCAGTACCTTCTTAAGCCCAGACTCAAGCAAATATTTTCACGTCTTTCAAGCCTTAATCAAAAGCAGTTGGCCAGAACCAAAC